GACACTTGCGGTCTACAGCGGATCGGATTGACACGTCCATTTTGCCTAGCAGGTACAGCACGGTCAGATTTCCACATCCGTTTAAGTTTATAATACTTATAAGGCTTTCAGGTGTGGAAATCTGACTGTTGCACGTAGGATTCTAAGGGGAAAGGGTTTGTCCCGTTTTAGAAGTCAAGAAGCGCAACTTTCGGCACCCCAGTGTATTGATTCATTTTGCATTCTAGAACACAGACTTCCAGTGACTTCCAATTCATCCGGATTCTTGAATCAAGACAATATGTCAGATATGCTGACTGATATGCATTAAAAATGATCGGTGTGCGTTTTTTAAGTTCTGAATCCCATAGTTCTTGATTCTTGTCCATGGGAGGGACGTCCTGTCTTTGCACATGGATGTTGTTGCAAGTTGAGCTTTGCTGCATTAGGATCCTTGATTAACTCGCATGTTCGACTCCCTTCTCCGTCATGCTGTAGAAACTTAGCTGTGTCAGCGTTTGGTTGCACGGGCAACCGATCTTCACATGTCCTCAGCAAGTGTGCCCATTCGTTTGCGTGTCTATTTGTTCGGATTCCGCGAACAATCTTTCATGCATCATTCTACACCGTAGCTGTTCCGTCCCACCTGTTCATTATGTGTTCTGCTTTGTCTTGCTCCCTTTGCCATGTTGGGGAACCAATTCCAACGTCCAGACGTACTATAGTGGTTCCCCTCCGGTGGTTCCTGTGGCCTTGCAGAAGTCACCAGTGCAGATCAAATTCAGAGATGTGACATCAGAGATCAATCTGCCTTTTTCAAAGATAACTTCTTGGTCTTAGAGCATTGATGCAAATCTCAGATCTCCCTTCCCTAGGACCACACTTTGGTTCAACTAGTCTTCCTTGGAGGATCTTGGAGGTATGCCGTCCAAAAAGGGGTGGGTCCCAGATTGCTTCACTGGCACAGCATGTCCTCAGGAAAACACGCCTGTTCAGTACTGCGCGAATTCCGCAAAATTGTGCTACTTCTTTAGTCGCACGCAATTGCACATGAACTGTTTGGTGTCCAATTTGTGAGGAACGAGCAGAAGATGTGCATTCGTTAGTTTAATTTTGGCATGCTCGAGCTACTGGAAGGCGAGAGTTCATGGAGTCAGCAGCGATCCCAAGCCTGGCTACAAGGGCTCCAACACTGCAGCAGAACACAATTGTGTGCACACTGGTCAAGGCCGTGACAAAACATCAGCTACCTGAGTGGTCTGTTCTCACCTCTTTTCCAGCCTGGAGCCTATCTCGTTCAGAGTTGCATGTTGGAAGCCAAACCATCGTGGCAGAAGATGTTGAGTAGACTAGTAGAGAAAGGGACTCATGCGCAAACTCGTTTGCGCCCAAATGGGCTGGCGGTTCAGGTCCTACCTCCAGACCTGAGATTAGGCGTTGGAGAAGACCCCGAGGAACGACCAGATGATCTCAATACCATGTACCAGGCTGGCAATGATCGGCAGACATGTAGAAGGCCATCCTTGAGACAAGTTTCACCAATTTGCGGAACGCATGTCTAGCTTCATGCTCGACTTGGGGTAGTGCAAAGCGCGAAGGATGTGCTTGTGGCTGGGCGCGATTTGGAGGTTGCTATCGCAGAGAGTTTGCAGCTGAGTTTGACAAAGCCAGTTGGTGCTGGCTCCGTTCTGTTTAAGCAAGGGCACAGTGCTGGACTTTTGCGATATCGGAAGCTCTTGCTGCAAGCTGTCCCTTGGAAGCAACATTTGCCATTCTCTTTGGTCGGTTGGTAGCAGAATTGTTTCTCACTCCATGCTTAGTTTATTCAAGTTTGCTTATATATGTTTATTCTATATAGTTCTGTTGTGTTCACAAGTGCATTGGAAGACCTTCTATAGTTTAGGCAGTGGATTCACTCATAGACAATGGCAGGGAGCCCAGCTGAAAACAACTAGCCAGTACCAGTCACTACTGATGCACTCCAGTTTGTCTGCGCAAGCAAATTTCACACTGCTTGCACATTTTCCACCCACTGTCAGATCTCCAGCTTTCATCACTGTTCTTTCCTGGCTTTTCAGACCTGTTTGTTTCCTCATCTTGCAATCGGTCAAGCAAGTCTGTGGCATCTAGATCTAATTACTTTTCTTCGAATGATTCCTACCCGAAAAGGTGTTTGGAAAAAGGCACGGCACATATATCCCCGTTTGGCTGGCAAGTATCTTTTCCTGTAGCTGCACTATCCTAATTATTAAAGAATCCGATTCCCATGTTTAAAAAAATAATGATTTCAAGTTGGAGTCGATACAGCTCAGGGGGAAAAAAAAGGAAGAACAGAATTCCATACAAACCTCAAATTCAGGATTCTATAAGACCACAATTTGAGGCGTTTCTAGGGAACCTCTAATCTACCAAAGAATGTGGAACACTGAATAATAGTGTTTTAAACACAAAGTAGCAGGAAAATATACACAACAAGCAAGGGACATGGTCACATACTGATTCTGTGTACCTTACCCTCGGAATGCACATCCATCCAATCCCTCCAGCATTATTGTTAACAAACTGTTCACAGAGACAAATTCAGCCTTCATGATCTCCACGTCTTCATCCTCGTCCAACGCATCCTGCAAGCAAAGGCAACAGAAAAAATAAAACATTCAGAAGATGAATGTCATCCCCAAGTCATTCACACCATTCACTGTTTTTGTATTCCTATTGTCTGGAGTTGTGAGAGGAATGTCAACACATGAACAATAAAACAACACGAGTTCCACTGACACCCTCTTTGCACCCCAATCGGCCCAGCTGAAGTGCCTGGCGACCGAAAGGAGGCTCAGGCTTCTCAGCGTTCTCCTTCGGCACCTCCACACAACGTCTTTCCCATGCTCTGAACAAGACAAGCATGTGACAGTAAAATATAACACACATGAACTTCCACTTCCACTGACACACTGGTGCGCAAGCCCGCCTCCTGACATTCCCTTTGGACAGGCTTTTGCTGCTCCGCGATCTTGGGCACCATCCTAGGAGAAAACACAGTCTTCCCAGTGGACAGGATTTTAAACATGTGGAATTTCCACGAAGGGCAGAAATCTGTAAGATCTATAAGTTGAAGTCGCCACTGCTCCAGGTTCTCCTGCTCTGCAGCACCCTGCTAAAAGGTGAAAGACGGGATGCAGAGCATGGACAGAAGTATAGATTAATGTTCATTGGTTTCATATCTTGTTGGGGACCAAGACCAGACTGGCAGAATGCTCGAACCGGAGTTTAGTTGCCCAAGACCTTCAAAAAATTAATTGCCCTTGCACAGGATCGTATAAATGCAAATCTGCCCAAATATCGAGGTTGGCCAACAGCTGCAATTGTATATCTGTCACTGTCTTCATATTTCTATTTTCTCAAGATGATCAAGATGTGACAAGAAAATCAACACAGAACAGAAAAGTATAACACACCTGAACTTCAACTGTCACACTCTCTGCACCCCAGTCAGCCCAGCTGAAGTGCCTGGCCACCAGAAGGAAATCCTGCAAGCAACGGCTCCAGAAATATCTTCAGGATCCAGTTCAATTGACGGGAAAACGAAAAAACAACTCAACGTTTGGCGATCGCTGGCAAACCCAACAGGCCACCCAAGTGCTTGTATACCCTCACGTCTCACACTGATGCCATTTGCTTGGGCCTTTCATTCCACCCAAGGATTGCAACGCCGCTGTTCAACAATACAAACCTCAACTTCCACGGACACGTTCTCCTCGCCCCAACTAGCCCACCTGAAGTGCCTGGTCACCAGAAGGAGGTCCAGGCTTCTCGGCGTTCTCCTTCGGCACCTGCAGGCAACAGCGCCAGATATCAATGGCTTGAGGATCCAATTCAATTGCTCATGTTGCAGCATGCTTGTATCCAAATCATCAGTCGAACAAGTATCATCTAGAGTCTAGAGTACGATTCTGTCTTCAAGATCTGTCAGGAAAGTAGAGTCCAGAGTCCAGGAAAAAACTAGAACGATCCAATGTCTTCAAAAAATTGGTGCTTTAGTTAGATGTTTTAGTTTTGTTTCCGAAACCTTGGGTCTGTCATCCGCAGCCAGCCCACCCGAAAACACCTTGGTGAGAATGCAATTCAGTCTTCAGTTGTCGCATGAATTATCCCGGCAAGAGACCCCAAACAGTGTGTGTGAGGTCCAGAGGTGTAGCAGCAGAAAGCAGAGATCTAGACGCATTGGGGTCCAGGGAGGTGATGGTGGCGGTGAAGGTGGAGATCGTGGCGATTGTGGCCGGTGGTTGTGAGTGAGTGAGTGAGTGTGTGAGTCACAGGGATCCAGTCGGATTGTGCTAATTTTTTCGTTTTTCAGCAGGGGGACTGTCTCCCCCACAGAAGTGACAGTCCAACGAAGAGGC